TAGGCTTTCAGAATCAGTTGGAACCTTTGTGAAACCCCTGTCACATTGATCCCACGGTTGCATATTTTCAAAAGTGATCTTAAACGATTTCTCATGATAACATTATACTAAAACAAACCATATTGAAAATATTTAAGATGTTTAAAAATTTCTTAACTTTGAAGGCCCATATCTTAACCATTTATAGATTTAGATCAAACATTTTTACACGAATCGACATCATTTTTGCGCTAGTACACTGAAAAAAATGTTGTTCATAATATCAATGAACAGTGGTTGTTGACTGATTTTCATTGTCTCAATGAAGTTTTTCGTTGACGCAATGAAGATTTGTTCATAGACTAAAACCCCTGTTTATCAATATTATGAACGCATATTCATTAACACAATGAAATATAATCATTGTAGTAATGAAGACTTTTCATTGGCTCAAAGAAGTTTTTTGTAATTACAATGAAGGTGTTCATCAAACTTTATATGGTATTAACGACTATTAGTCATTGATATAATGTAAAGACTTCATTGTATTAAAGAAGAAGTGTCATCAATGCAGTGATTTTAACTGCTAAAAATATTGTTCTTTATATCAATGAATAAAATTCATCAATCACAAGCCTACACCGCTGTAGTCCGCGAATTTAAGTCAGCGATTTCGTTATCGTCAGACCACTGCGCTATCTATAAAATATTATAACCATAATCACGTTAACTCGTCGCATTGTCACATCTTTAACAGTGATAGTTGAGTGAAGAAGTGTGTATTTTTCCAAAAATATATAGTATCTACAGGTAAGACAAAAATAGCTATCTAACGCTTTTCGTTTTGTTATCAACTTTTTTTTTTTCAGCTTGTAGTGGTTTATAGGTAGCTTTACCTATTAAACTAATTGCAAACTATTTTTTTTTTTTTTGAAATTGAAGTGTATTTGATTTTAGATTGACATGGATTTCAAATCAGCGTTTAATAGCAACGATGGGTTGCTGAAAGGATGGGCAGAGTTTGGCAAAAAGTCTATACTTTTTTAAACTCAGAAAACCATGTCAAAGACAAGTCAGTGAAAGTTCTGATTGGGAGGCTTGCTGACATCACAATCTCTGAAAGTAAGTCAAATTGTTACAAAGACCATTTACTTTATTGTAAAATTAAAATTTTGCCGTTTTGTTTGTAACTAAATTGTCAAGTTTTTTATTATTTATGGTTTCACAAATGGACGTAATGCTGCTTTAATTTGGGCGCTACATGGCTATTTGGTGCCCACAGCCAAAAGTGTCAGGAAAGATGTGACAGGAAAAAAGTCAACCACTAGATACACCATCAAAGATTCGCAGGAAGCAGTAATATTTGTTGGTGGTAGTCTTAGTGAAGTAGAAGACCGGATACACCATCTTCGAAAAACCAAAAAGTCGCTGCAACCATCGATATATGGTATCGGTAAAAGTATTTTTGAAATCGAAGAAATATTTATTCAATTTGACGATATTCGTTATAAATGTACAATCATCATCAGGGCTCTAGACGTTTGTTTGATTTAGCGTTCCCTCAAGAGAGCGAAATGTTTTTTAGTTTTTTAGAATTTTATTTTTTTAGGCTCAATACGGCATGCAAGTATCCTAAGGTACAAATTTTTAATTTTAATTATTTGATGAGTGTAATGGAATAAAAGAGACTGTAGCTTTTATGTAACTGCAACTTTTATGTAGATTTATTTTGTTCAAATTTTGTAATCATTAGAGCAATAAAATAATAGTATATATAAATTATTCTGCTGATTTCACACAAAATTATACCTTGTCAAAAACTATCACGGTCGAGTAGCGTTTTTTGTGACTCGTATAGATGTAGTCTTGAAACTTTGGTCTTTTCTCATAGTAATCATTCAAGTAATTATAATGATAACAATAAGAAACGGATAAATTTTGGAACTACATGTTATTCCCTAATATATGTACATCAGAAAACACAGTAGTACCTACATTGTATTAATGAAGACCACTTCATTGGTACAATGAAACAATTTTACTACATTAATGAATTCATTCATTGAATAAAGAAAAATAATTCATTAAGTCAAAGATTTGTTTCATTCTATTAATGAAAAACGTCAATGAAATATGTTCATTAAACAATGAAAAATTTTCATTAAATAATAAATATTGTTCATTAAACAATTAAAATTTTTCATTAAATAACGAATATTGTTCATTAAGCAAATGAATACATTTCATTGAGACAAAGACTTGTTTTCATTCGACAAATGAAAAGTTTCATTAGATCATGAATAAGTTCTTTATAATTTCATGAAAAATGTTCATCATTACAGTAAATCGATTTCATATAATTAATGTAACACTCTTCATTGAGACAATGAATTGGTTCATCGGCTGAAAATCCATAACTCAATTCATTGTCTCAATGTAGCTTTTCATTATATTAATGTACATTTTTGGTTCGGTGTATTTGTGATTAAAATTATGCCACGAATTATAGAAACACCCTGTATATCCCGGAGTCTTCCTATTCAAGCCCAAGACCCACCTCCAATATCTCTACTAAATCTCCTTCACCATCTTGTGTTGCTTTTACCCTCATCTTTCCGCTCTATACATTATCACACTCCTCACTAATCCAACAACTATTATATTCCGTCCGCACAAATCTTTTCTAAATATTCGTTCCCCCCTCCTCCATATTTGCCTCAAAAATCTTCTCACCTTTCTAAAACTCTTAATTTTTGCCTAATATGTACCCACACTCCACTATTCGTTCGAAAAGTACGTAAAGTTCTCTCCTTTCATTTCTACGTTTGCCATCTCCCGCCATAGTAAAATTTTATAATTTTTCAACATTTACCTCCAAATCCTTCGCCTCATAGTATGTCTCCATAGATCTTATCGTCCCTTTCAACTCATTAGCCATTGTTGCAATCATCACCAAATCATTTGCATGTGCCAATGAATGTATCTTTTCTGCACATCCCACTGCTGCCACGGCCGTGAAACCCGTCGTACTTAAATAAATACATAATTCCACATCACGCAGTGTATGATTTGACTTAATTTTGATTAATATCACGAACTTTTTTCATCTCTAGTTGTGAATATAGCATTTCGTATTGCATTTGCGTATTAGCATGGCCTGTCTAATAGTGTTAAACCACATGTTTGTTTTAGTTCCTCTCTGTGCATGATGTAATTTTGACATTTGCACAAGATATAGTCTACAGTTTCACTCCCCTCACATCTACATTAAATGTCAGAGGCCAGAATAAATATTTTCGACTTTTTCTTTATAGAGCTATGCTTCGACAGGAAGTATTCCATATTGTAATTAATTTTTCATCAAGGGGGAGCATTATCAACTATGTCAGGTGTATATTAGTAGGTTATTATACACTTTTCACTGTTATCCCATCTCTTTTGACAAATTTCTATTAATTTAATGCCAAGGATTGTACTCATTGTATTTTTCTTTTTCCATCTTTTCTTTTCTATCTTCTGGTAATTTCAAGGTCCAATTGTAAGACCCCAGCGAGGACTTGCAGGGTGTCCTTGGAAACCGTCCGGCACACGGGAACCATGTTCCTATGGGAATATTCCATAGCAGAGTTTGAACCCGTCTGATAAAATAAATATTATTATTCAATATTGATCACCACACAGAAACCCGCTAACTCACTATACCTAAAAATAGATTATTACTGTTATAAGAATAGGACAACATTCATATATCAGTATTCCCTAATTCCCATTCTGTACGGAGTATTCGTTTTAGTTTTCCATCTATTGTAAGTATTTTTCTTTTCTGTTGCAATAGATATTCAAGATAATTATCTTTCGAATCTATGGTAACTCCCATTCACGGAATTGACTACCAGAGTCGGGTTTCTCGTCAAGAGTCTGCTCCAATCATTATAAATAAATCATCAGCGTATGCTGCTAATGCTTTTGTTCCATCGGGGTTCGGGGTCTGCACCGCCAGAAGCTCGTTCAAGACCATGTTCCAAAATCTTGGACCTAGTACCGCGCCCTGTGGGCAATCCATTGTGAGCTTAAACAGCTCCTCGCCAGTATTGCTTCTAAACACTATTCTCCTGTCCGTAAAGTGATCTAATTGTTTTATATATTCTTGGTGACACAGCTATTTCCGACAGACTCTTTATTTCCGAATGCCACAGCAATATCCCATAGTACTCCTGAAATATACTTATGGTTATTTTTACTTACAAACTCGCCTAGATCGTTGATCGCATCAACGGTACATCGACCACCCAGGAATCCGCTACGGTTAATAGTTTCTGTACCGGATTGCTCGTAGTAAGGCCTAATTCTTTTACCCAAGAGCTTCCCCATTACTGGCATTAAAAATATAGTTCTGTAGGACTTAGGGTTGCTTTATTGCCCTTTCTCGGTTTGTTTAGTTAATCTAGTTCTGGGGGAAATACCCACTCCTAAAGCTCTATAATTATCTGTGGGCAGGTTTCATATGTAATAACCAACATGTTTCGGTCAAGAGGGATTCTTGATCGTCATCACATTTGGCCATTTCGACGATCGCCATTTGCGAAGTTGTTTGAGCTGTTTCCTGNTGTTAGGGTTTTAGTTTCTTAAGTTGGTTTTTTTGAAAAAGTTTTATGTTGGTAACACTGTCATAACCGTTGACCTTGATGTAACCGTTAAAAACCGTAATATGGCAATAAGATGTATTGAGGTGTGGTCGTGGTTTTGTACGAAAATACTTATAACATATAAAAATCATTCAATAAAGATTCAAATTCAGTTCATATTGTGTGGTCTATAACGTGGCCGACAGGCAACGCAATTCTATCAACAAGAAGTACGGGATCTTTTTGAATACCCTGTAGGGGAGAGTCGGTTAAAACGGGATGGTAAGGTAAAACTGGATACCGTCGTTTTCTCAACAACGAGTAGAGCCATCCACATAAAATATATAACCTAATAAAATAATCTATTTATAATAACCTATTTAATCTAATATTTACCTGTCCAGTTTGAACAACAGGAGGAGTAATTATAATGTTATCCATTTCCTGTGGAATAAGTGGCACATAATATTTAGTTTTATCTAATTTTTGACCTCTAATAGGTGGTGGTTGTGAAACCGTTAAATCTTCGCATAAAACTTTATACATTAAAGTTGTTTGATAAGTACTTTTTTCACCATCCTCATTCGGCGATGTTAACTTTTTAAATTCCGATCGAATAAAATTTATGTAATAATCTCTTATGGATTTTTTAAAACAAATATCAGTTTCGCTTAATTCATAATACTCGTCTAATGGTGCTTTATATTTTTCTTGTCTTGCAAAAATTGTTCGACATCTAAAAATGATTGGTATTTATTATGATTATTAAAATAATTAAATAGAAACTTTATTTACAATTGCTTATTTCTATACGGCCGTATTGACTGTTGAGTATCGTTCGGAAAAGCAATCAAATCGTTACAATTTTTATCTATAACCGCTTTATTATTAACAGTAATTCCTTTGTGAAGACTAATGTTGGTATTAAATTTCAAGTTTTGGCAATGTTTTCCGACTTCTTTAATATAATTCGGTTTTAAACCAGGATTTAGTTGCGGTTTTGGATACTTAGTTGAAGATATCACATCTAACTTAACAACCATTTTACTTTCACCGATTACTTTACAATCATTCTTTGTTTTCATCATGTTATAATCATAGTATAATAAATTAAATACAACTTCGATTTCAACTGACCCGATTTCAGTCGGTTGAATATTAATTAAAATTTCCAATTTTTCATTCGGTTCCAAGGAGAATATTTCTTTTGCTAAATAAACATTAGGAGCTTTTACATATTGAACAATTATCGGGAGATTTTTAGATTTGTTGGTTAATAATAATACTCGTTTCACGCATTTATTAACATCCATCCGTTTTATATTGATTTCATCAGGTATTATATCAACTCCTGGTACTTCTGCCGTTGCATAAAGATGTACTCTTGTAAATTCATTTGGAGCATCAGGACTTAAAGTTTGCAACATCCCAGTATTTGATAGGATTGAATCGTATGTAAGTGATTCAGTAACTTAAAATTAAAAAGAATAATCTGTTAATTAGATTTAATTACAGTAAAACTTCGATATAACGGATTAATATGGTGAAGAAAGTGTCCGTTATATAAAAAATTTTGTTTGAATGAATAGTTTTAATGCATACAAATTCGAACAGCTATCCACAGTTTTCAATGAAATATATACATATGTCGCAGGCAAATGGTTGTTTCAGGTAAACAGCTTAATATAAGGTAGGTTTCAGGTAAATAGCTATTTCAGTCTAAATTCTACTTTAAGGCAAATAGGATATGGCTAAAATATTTTCAGGCAAATATCTCTTTAAACCAACCCAACCCAACCCCAGGAATGCTTTATTTCTTTAAGAGAGTCCTGCACTTCATAGTCACCGTTTTCTGGGCAAGGGATGTCAAAATGCCAGTGCCTTCGAAATTCCAGTTCAGTACAAAAAGGTATACTTGTTTCAAAAATAAGATGATGTGCAATAGTAGATGCCATTCCAGCAGCAAATTTTTGTGTTTAGTTTTTAAGTCTTCAAGAAATAAATCGTTTATTTGTATTTTTATTAAACTTAATAAAAGTATATGAAACTGTTGTGCATTTTTTGAAAATGATACGCAAATAATTTGACTCGTTTCCCACTCATTAGTGACTTTAATTTAAGAAAAGTATGTTGATAACGATTGGAACTACTTTATTTTATTGTGAAGAGGTACCTACTCTATACTGCATTGTTGTATCGAAAAAATGATATTTGCCTAAAACAAGCTTAGACAGATACTATTTGTCTTGTCCAACAGTATTTGCCTAGTCATTTAATAATAAAACTGTAACGAACTACTGTTTGCCTAGGCAGGCAGCATCTGACTAGGAAAAAGCTATCTACCTGAAATAACCATTTGCCTGCAACACATACATCAATCTAATGCTGAATAACAACTAAAACTAGAATTAACGCTGGCATTAGAACTAACACTAGACCTACAATTAGAAACATTCGGGTTTAGCCCTGCGTATCTCAAAACGGCTAAACCCGAATATTTCTAGTTCTATGTCTAGCTAGTGTTAGTTCTAGTTTTAGTTCAATGAAAAATATACAGCAATCTAACGCTGAATAACTACTAACACTAGTATAAAAACTAACACTAAACCTTAAACCAGAAACATTTCAGGGTTTAGCCTAGATTTAGTGTTTGTTCTGGTTTTAATTTTCATTCAGCGTTAGATTGTTATACAGGATGTTCATTTCAAAACTTTCCATCTCAATTTCTGTAAATCCGGAAGTTTAAAAAGAAAATCGCTGAAATAAGTAAAGAATAAAACCAAGGGGGACAACTTTTTATGCAAAAATTGACTCACTCACTTCAACCCCCCGCCGCCAGAAACCAACCCCTTAAAAATCTTAAATGGAAAGGGGTGTCAAGTGATACCTCATTTTAAAGGTCTTTTAAGGTACTACATGTTAGTATTTATTTTTTTTAAATTGATCGATTCGTTTTCGAAATTTTTGCGAAAATCTTTGTTTTGTATTTCCCGCTTTAATTAATATTAAAAACTTTAATCACCTTCTTAAAAGCAAGAATAAGTAATCTTTTATTATTAATTTATAAAATTAAATTACCATGTTCGTTTTTACAACGACCATTAAACCTTTATTATTTCGGAGCAATCGGAAATATTTAAGAAAACTAAACACGTATAATTATGAATTAAACTAAATTTTATTGAAAGTATTTTACATTAAACCTGTATGAAAATTACTCTTGACTCGAATGGCCAAAAAAAGGAAAAAAAGAGACGAAATTTTTCTCTTTCTATAAACGAGTTATAGGCAGGCTCACAGTGCGAGAAAAGAATAAAATAAAAGTGCAATTCTAAACATAAGTTTATTTGGTTATTACTTAAACAACTTTGTGTTATCCACTTAACAAAGTTATTTAAATAAAACAGCAATAATGGTTTACAGTTTGCAGGAAAGGATTGAAATTGTATTAATGTATGGATCCCAAAATGAATGTGCTCGACGAACTGCCGCAGTTTTTAATGAAAGGCATCCAGATCATGAAGAAATTCACTCAGACTGGGTCCGTTGCCAACATAAAACATAATGAGTCGAGAGTTTTGAATGAAACCGCTCAACTGGAAGTGTTGGGTCATTTCGGTATCAACCCCAATACTTCATTGCGTCAGGTATCTCGTGCAACTGGTATATCCTTGGGTTCTGTTCATAAAGTTGTAAAACTTCACAAATTCCATCCTTATAAATTGAAAATACATCAAGAGCTAACTGAAGACGATTTTGACAGGAGAATACAGTTTTGTGAAGAAGTGACCACTATTATTAATAATAACAACGTTTTTGTGAAAAATATCTGCTTTAGTGATGAATGCACTTTTTCTTTAAATGGATTTGTAAATAAACATAACTGCAGATATTGGAGTAATGAAAACCCTCATCTGACTGTAGAAGGGCATACACAATATCCTGAAAAAGTTAATGTATGGGCCGGCATTTTGGGAGACCAAGTGATTGGTCCAGTGTTTATCGATGGAAATTTAAACGGCGAAGTGTACTTGGATATGTTAGAAAATACTATCAATCCACTAATTACGGAAGCTCTCGAGAATCAGTTGGATAGAGAAGAAAATGCCTTACTTGATGAGAATGAATTACATTTTCAACAAGACGGAGCTCCTCCTCACTATGTTCTCCCAGTACGACAGTGGTTAGATAATACGTTTCCAAACAGATGGATAGGACGAAGAGGTCCTATAGAATGGCCAGCCAGATCACCAGATTTGACGCCATTAGACTTTTTTTATGGGGTCATTTAAAGTCTGTTGTATTTACCCCTCAACCTCAAAATTTAGAAGAACTTCGTCAGAGAATTACTGCAGCTTGCCGTGGAATTCAAAGGGAAGTTTTTGAAAATGTGCGCCGTAGTTTTGAACAACGGTTGTACCATTGTTTAGCTAATAACGGACAACACTTTGAACAATTATTAAGTTGATTTTCTCTGCAAAAAGTTTTTGTACATAATTAAATAACTGAAAATAAAATAGAACGTTTCAAGCAGTTAAAAGTTGTTTAAGTAATAACCAAATAAACCTAAAAGAAAAGAAAAATGAAACAGAAATCGTTTTTTCTAAATATCTCTGACAGACGCCAGGCAAGCTAGCCAACGTAGGTATATCATTGTCAAAATAACCTAAATATCAAAGATTTCGGATTGCTCCGAAATAATAAAGGTTTAATGGTCGTTGTAAAAACGAACATGGTAATTTAATTTTATAAATTAATAATAAAAGATTACTTATTCTTGCTTTTAAGAAGGTGAATAAAGTTTTTAATATTAATTAAAGCGGGAAATTTCGAAAACGAATCGATCAATTTAAAAAAAATATATACTAACATGTAGTACCTTAAAAGACCTTTAAAATGAGGTATCACTTGACACCCCTTTCCATTTAAGATTTTTAAGGGGTTGGTTTCTAGCGGCGGGGGATTGAAGTGAGTTAGTCAATTTTTGCATAAATAGTTGTCCCTCTTGGTTTTATTCTTTACCTATTTCAGCGATCTTCTTTTTAAACTTCCGGATTTACAGAAATTGAGGTGGAATGTTTTGAAATGAACACCCTGTATATTTTTCAATAAACTGCCAGTAGCATTAGGACTAACACTAGACCTAGTAGTAGAAATATTCGGGTTTAGCCGTACTTCTCTTAAATTACGGAATAATGTTTTTAGTTGAAAGTCTAGTGTTAATACTACAATCTTGCGCTGAATAACAAATCCCCTCTATAAAAGTTTGGTGACGTTTACGAAGTAAGATCAAGAAGACACAATCGTGCATCGTTCTTAGTCTTATCGGATCTCTTCTTCTAGAGCATTAGGTTCTCCAAAGTTTTTTCAAATTTTCATTTTTTTTTGTGGAAAAACTAAAGTCCAGTTTGAAAAATAAAATATTATAGAAGTTCGTAAACTATCGAATAACCAATAAAAAATTGTAACGGCCTCAATAATAGATTCTATCTGTAGTGCATGCGCATGCGTGGGGAAGACGGCGTTTAAGGACGGTTGAGCGTGTTGCGAATTAGTCAGAATTAGTTGAGTTCGTTAGGTTTCAGTGCTATGCGAGAGTGTTACGCGCATAACCTCAATGTAGTAAAAAGATTTGTGTATACATTAATAAAGAGTGTAAATCATACGTGTAACTTTTATTGCCCCTCGACACTGGCGACATACATAAGAGAGCTAAAGCTGAAAGATTTCAATTTTTTGCTAAAGCGAACAGAATCGTAGATGCGGAGCAAAAGAAAGCAGTATTCCTGAGCATATGTGGTTTACTCGTGGGACCTCTTGGGCTCTTGGGTTAACCACAAGCGGAGTGAGAATTAATTGAAAGATTTTCCGGAAATATTCAGCGAGGGTATTGGTACGTATCGCGGTCCTTCGATATCATTCATTTTTTAAGAAAGACGTACTACATCCAGTTCTATTAAAAACGAGAAAAGTTCCATTCGCGTTAATCGAGCGCGTTAACCGCTCGATTAACGCGAATTACAAAAACAGGTGTCCTAGAACTACTCGATCATTCGAGATGGGGAACACCTATCGTTGTCGTAACGAAGAGCAACGATGAAATCGGAATTTGCGGAGATTATCGTGCTACAGTAAATCGAGTGCTACATACCCAGTGCCATGTGACCAAGATATTTTGGCAGTACTGGCTAGAGGAAAGATTTTCGGATAACTAGACATGGCTCAGGCGTATCTTCAAATGAAAGTAGACGACGCTGCGGCCGACGCACAGATTATAATAACGCATCGGGAAACATTTCGATGTAAGAGGTTACAATTTGGAATTGTGGCGGCACCGCAGATATTCCAGCGATTCATCGATTCAAGACTTAACGGAATCCAAGGAGTATTACCGTATTATGACGATATTTTAGTAATTGGTAAATTGGAAACAAAGTTAGATACAAAACTACGAGAAATACTTAAACTTAAGTACGTAAATGTATTTTTAAGACAGACAGTATAGATTTTTTAGGGTTTCGAAGTTAGTGCAATCGCAAATTCCCCAAATCCGAGCTACAAAATGGAGTTCAAAAAATTTTTGGGTTTGATTACGTTTTATTGTAACTTTCTAAAAGACAAAGTACAGGTCACTGTAAGGTAAATAAACACCTTTATAACATAAAGTGTGTTGACAGCCCTCTCTGTCGTGCTTGTGAACAGGACGACGAGACGGTTTATCGCATCTTGTGTGACTGTTCTGCCCTTCAGGACCTCAGATTAAGAGTGTTCGGGGAAGAATGGCTACTACAGATCGCGTCAGAGACACACCTCTGAGCTGTATCCTAGTCTTTCGTAACTCCTTAGGCTGCTCGATATAACCGGAGTGAGTGAGTGTTGGGAGGTTGTACAAGAGGCCCGATGGCGCCCAAGTGCTGCCCTTCTTTTACATACATACATACAAGACAAAGCTACCATAGTTGAACCTGTATTCAGATTGTTACAAAAGAATGTCGCATTTAAGTGATAAAATGATCAACAAATAGCGTTTACAAAAATGAAGGATTTATTGATTAGTGAACCTATTTTGGCACACTTTGATGAAAAAAATAAAACAATTCTAACTTGTGACGCTAGTGCTCATGATGTGGGTAACGAGGCACCAGTAGCATATCATAGCAGAACGTTGTCAAGCGCGGAGAGAACCTTCGCTCAAATCGATAAAGAGGGCGTTAGCAATAATGGTAGGAATAAAAAAGTTTCATAATTAGTTGTATGGTAATTATTTTGAAATCCGGACGGATCATAAACCAGTATTGGGAGTTTTGAGAACCTCCAATAACTTCAGACATACTTCTTTTGGAAAAGATACCTGAAAATTTTGGAACAGCAGAAGAAATAGCTAAAGCTACAGCAAAACATTCAGTTCTGTCAGTTGTTTTGGAATGGACAAAAAGGGGATGTCCGATGGATTCTAAACAATTCTCATTTCTCTATCTTCCTATCAAGATTGTTTATTGTGAAGATCAAGAGTGATACTTCCACCAAAGGGGAAGAAAAGTACACTCGAGATACTACATAGAGCACATTCGGAAATGACGAGGATGAAGTAGCTGGAGAGATTGTATGTTTTGGTGGCCGGGTATGGATAAGAAAATAAAAGACTTGGTGAGAAATTGCCAAGGATGCCAAATGAGTAAAAATCAACCAGGAAAAGCGCCAATCCATCCGAATACACCTCGATTTTGCGGGACCACTTAATGGATAGTATTTATTGGTCGTGATGAACGCCTATTCAAAATGGTTAAAAGTTCGACAAGTTTCCGGACCATCGAAACATGCAAAAATAACAGATCTGAGGAAATTGAAACTGAGGAAACGAATTATTTGCAACACATGGATTGCCAGATGTTGTGGTATCAGATAATGGAACTGCGTTCACCTCTAAGGAATTTAAAGAATTTCTTTAGAAGAACCTGATTAAACAAGCTTTGGTTGCACCTTACCATCCTAGCAGCAATGGTCAAGTTGAGAGACTAGTGCAAGAATTAAACAAGCATTCAGCCAGATGTCACTAAAAACATGAAGACCAAGCAAGAAGAGAAGTGTTGACCAACATCGCGAAGAATGTTTACGTTAGATGATTGAGTGTACATGAGATCGTATGGAACACGGGAAAAGTGGCAACCTGCAATAGTAATCGATGTAATCGGTCCACTTAGCTATAAAGTCCAACCACCAGATGGAAAACAATATAAAAGACTTGTAGACCAAATGAGAGAGAAGAGCCCAAGGTTGGAAAATGTAGAAGCAGAGCTATTACTGGAAGAAGAAGCAGTTGCACAACCAACCGAACTTTTGATTGGGACAAATGAAGATAAACCAGAAACTACAGGACCAAGAAGAGAACGAACTATTCCAAAATATTTACAAGACTATACTGAATAGTTCTTTACCGGGGGTGAGGAGTGTAGTGTATGCGCATGCGTGGTGTGAACCATTATGTGGAGGTTTAACTGTAATAAATTAATTAAAAAGCTTACGATCCAGTTGTGACAGGGAAGGCTCCAAACTTAAAGTGTTTCTAATGGATGTATTAGCACTTACCAATGCCGCCAAATCAGCTAAAAATAATAAAATATAAAATTTGATTAACAAATTCAATTTGTATTTTTACAAATAAAATCTTGTTGATATGCTAAAGCAACCGATCGAAATCGATGCATTAAAATGGTGCAAAAATAAAATCGATTATTTTTCGTGTTGGAATCTAATTGTCTTGGCGAAAACCTAAAGGAAAAAAAATAATTAATTACTATAAAATAAAAAGATTAAAATTAGAACCGAAAAATGAATAATTTTGTTTCATTTTCATGAAAAAAACCATTTGTGGGATACATATCGAAAAATTTGAAATTTATTGACTCCTTTTTTATAGATTCCAAACTCTAAAACAAATAACAACACTAAATTGCCGAATAAAATATAAAAAATGGTAAAAGTTACCACTCTTCTTTGATGAATTTCCCCCATCGTTGAATACATCATCGGAATAGCACTATAATTTCGTACAAACAAATTAACAACTGATGATAAACCAAAATAAGTAGGTGGGAATTCTAATAAAGTAAAATGTTCGGTTGTGTTTGGATGTAGAGCTTCTAATTTCGAATTGATAACTTTCCCTTTAACGTAAATGGGAGTTATCGAGTAAGCACATTTTATAGAGAAGGATGTATTCAAATCCGTTTCTTGTAAAGCAAATATTTTTATTGATATCTCATAAATTCCAGCCATCTAGAAATAAACTTCAAATTTATTAATTATTTAAAGAAAATAATTAATTTACTTACCCTGACTTTACCTTTAAGGGGCTCGATGATAATCGCCGAACTACAAGCATTACGATCCACGTAAAATATCAAATCTTTATTAGCTTTATTTTCTAGTACAATCGTTTTTGTAATATGAATTGAACCGGCGTTTATTAAACCAAAATCGACAATTTCTGGAGTGATTGACATTGAACCTTTTGAAGATTTTCTAAAATAAGTTAATTATATTGGCTTATTTTAGTGAAATAGTAATTCTTCAATAAGCCAAACATTTTTTATTTTTGTAAACGTCTGTAATTGTGCAATGTCTACGATAAAAAATGTATCATTCTATTCGATCATAACATGATTTCTAGACTTGAAAATTTATAAATTTTATTAAAACACAGTTGTAATGTAAACACTTCTTAGGACGGTATTACAGTGGAGCCAGTTATTTATTTAGGCTTCTTCTTTATCTCTTTAGGTCTGAAGACGACCGGCTAAACCCGAAACTTTCTAGTTGTAGTGTTAGCTTAACAAAAATATACAGCAACCTAACGCTGAATATAAACTAACACTAGAGGTAACATTAGCACTAGATCTAGAACTAGAAACATTCGGGTTGTTATACAGAGTGTCCAATTAGTGCGATATCGGACGATATCTCCTTACAGGGTGTCGCTAGAAGAAAATGTTTATATATAAAGTTGTTTGGTGCTCGAAGGTGCATAACCTAAAAATATTTTTATTGTTTTATTACAAGGTACAACTTCGTAAAATTAAATGGAACACCCCATATTTTATTACATTTTTGAATTACCCTTAAAATTCGACATACTTTTTGTTAAGCATTACCTATACCAAAATTTTACCAAGATTTTTTTAAAATATCCGTCTGCACGTGTCTATAAAAGAAAGCACACCCAATTTATTTAAGACCCTACAAAGCAAATCTTTTGTAAATTATTAATGCATAGTTACAGTAACTTCATGCCCCTATAAAAATCTGGTAACCTTCTACAGGGTGTTCGTAATATTGTACTCAATACCAGAAACTTGAAATAGCTATATCTCATTTTTTTTAAATGGAATGCCTCATATTTTTTTATCTTAAATTATTCGCCAAGTAATAAGGTTTCTTTTTTATAAAGCATGTCCTATACCTATTTGCAATAGTTATCAAGTTATTTACGCTTTTTACAAATTTCTACTTTAATACCCATTTGATTTCAAAAAATGTTTGTTGGTTGGCTATGAAAATAATAATTGATGACAACAAAGCAAAGGAATGCTTTGAATTTGATAGTCTGCTAAATTTGTACAAACTAATAATATTCAGTATGAATTTTTCAAGACATGAATTAATAAAAATGGTTTACTGTTTGGGTGCAAGTGATGAAAATTGTTTATTAGCAAGTAGAATTTATGCATAAAGGTTCCCAGAAGCTGAACGCCATCCAAATTATTTAGCATTCGAAAGACTTAAGGAAAGATTCGAAAGAACCGGCAATGTAAATTATGAGTCAAAATTACAAAGAGAGAAAACAGCAGCAAGTACAGAAAATGAAATGTTAGTCATGCAAGCCGTAGTAGAGATTCTGCATATTTCTTGCAGACAAATTGAGCAACAGTTAGGCATTAAGAGATCCACAACCAACAAAATTATTAAACAACATAAATTCCATCCTTACCATATACTACTTATTCAAGAGTTATCTAATGAAGACTGTGTAAATCGGAGGAATTTTTGCCTTTGGGCGTTAGAAAAAAATCAACAACAACCTGACTTTTTTGATTATGTATTGATGACAGACGAAACTACCTTCGATAAAAATGGATTTGTAAACCGTCACAATTTTCATTACTACTCTGATGAAAATCCAAGATATCTGAGAGCATTAGACCATCAACACAGATGATCACTTAATGTATGGGGCGGCATCACGGGAACAAAGGTATTCGGGCCATATTTTTTTAATGAAGCTGTAAATGGTCAGAACTTTCTAAATTTCTTGCGGACTGATTTGGAGAATGCTTTCGAGGATTTACCACTTCAAACGGTGAGGCGAATGTGGCTACAGTTAGATGGAGCGCCTCCCCATTTCAGTCGTCCTGTGAGGGAGTATTTAAATTTACATTTTCAAAATAAATGGATTGGTATAGGGGAGGACCGGTTTCTTGGCCGCCCAGATCTCCAGATCTATCAAAACTTGATTTTTTCTTATGGGGTTTTGTGAAAAATCGAGTTTATCAAGTGCCTGTTACTACCATAGAAGATATGAAGGAAAAAATTAAAAACGCTTTTAACGAAGTAAGCTGCGAAATGCTGCAGAGAGTAAGCAATTCCTTTGTTAGAAGAATTCGTTTGTGTAAAGAATGTCAAGGCAGACACATTGAAAATTATGTACAGTGTTACTTTCTTTTGTTTTTTTAAGGGAATTGGTCAAAAAACCCGCCGGTTGGTGAACTTAAAAAAATATTTCCTTGTTATTTTCTGTTGCCAATTCCATATTTTTCGTTGTCTTTTGAAAATTTTTATATTACATTTTATGTACATAATTATTACTTGATTGGACTAGTCCACAGATTCTGAAATTCATCTCTTGAAAAGTTTATATTGAATATTATTAGTTTTAATTTCTTTTTGCATTTTTTTGCTTTGTTGTTATCAATTATTATTTTCATGGCTAACCAACAAAAAAATTTTGAAATCAAATGGGTATTAAAGTAGAAATTTGTAAAAAGCGTAAATAACTTGATAACTATTGGAAATAAGTATAGGACATGCTTTATAAAAAAGAAACCTTATTACTTGGCGAATAATTTAAGATAAAAAAATATGAGGCATTCCATTTAAAAAAAATGAGATATAGCTATTTCAAGTTTCTGGTATTGAGTACAATATTACGAACACCCTGTAGAAGGTCACCAAATTTTTATAGGGGCATGAAGTTACTGTAACTATCCATTAATAATCTACAAAAGATTTGCTTTGTAGGGTCTTAAATAAATTGGGTATGCTTTCTTTTATAGACACGTGCAGACGGAGATTTTTTCACAAAATGTTGAATACACTGTTGGAAATAATTTACGAGCACACCCTGTATAATCTGAACGCGTGTGTCTAGCGCAATAAAATTTGGTATGGAAGTAGTACTAAAGTAGTGTAACTTACTCTCATATGGAGAGCGGCATAACTCTGCTGGGAGGAGAAACATCAATAGCGAGAGTATCCCCCGTGAGCTTCGCGTACCATCGCTACACGACGTGGCATGGAGTCTATAAGTCGCTGTATTGTAGCGAGAGGGATGGCCAACCATGCCACCTCAACTCACCTCCATAGCTCCTCAACGTTAGCCAAGGAAGCCGGATAACGTAGAAGTCTCCGACCAGTCATGTCCCAAACATGTTCGATCGGATTCAGATGCGGAAACCGAGCTAGCCATGGAAGCATTCGTATACGGTGCTCTTCCACAAAGGTCTATACAACACGCCCGATGTGCTGTCGTACGTTGTCGTGCATGTATAGCAGACCTGGGAGCCGCCGAACGTAGGGAAGCACAACGGACCGTAGCACCTCATCTACGTATCGTTGACCCGTCATGGTCTGCTATACACGCAGCAGACGTGTACGTCCACCATATGTAATCGCACCCCATACCATAATGCTCGGTTGTCGGTGGATAGGG